TTTGCCGACTTTACGGCCGGCCGGTCCTCGGCCAGCACCATGGCCAGGGCGAAGAGAAACATGAGCAGCCCGTGGCCCACGTCCCCGAACATGACGGCGAAGAGGAAGGGGAAGGTGATGATGGTGTAGGGCGCTGCGGGACAGGGGCCTGTGCTCAGCCGGGCCCCGCAGCCACGTGCGCATCTCCGCAGAGACGACGTGGAGGCCCGAACCCAGGCTCTGGGGCGGCACCTGATTCAGACCTCCCCAAAACCACGATGTGGCCAAGCAGAACATGCCGCAGGCTCCTTGGGCCCGTGGCCTGCTGGTCCCCAGCCCTGACGACTGTGCCCCTTCCCAGTGCTGCTCTGAGTCCCACTTTTCAGGAGAGAAAACCGAGGCTCTGAGAAACTAAGGTGCCTATGGGGCTGAGTGAACAGGGACCTCAAACCCAGGCCCTCCTACTGCAGAGCCACTGCCCCGAGCTCAACCCCACGCCAGCTCCCTTGTAAGCTTCACCAAGGGGACGCTGGGGTTAACACCCCCAGCCCCCCACCCCCGCTCCACTGCACTCAAGTTGTGTGATGGGGAATGACAGGGAGTGTGCCGCTCCTCTCCAGAGGGCGGCACAGGCCCAATGTGAACGCCACCCTCCCGGCACTGTGGCTCTCACCGGGGTTGACCTCCTGGTAGCGGCCCACGCCGTAGGCGTCCACGATGCCCTGGAAGCTGGCCGTGAAGCGAGTGGTACGGATGAGCGTGGGGGGCATGTCCCGGTAGGGGATGCGGTGAACCACGGCGCTCACACCAGCCTCACTCTGGGGCACCCGGCAGGCAGGAAGGCAGGCAGGCAGACAGATGAGACTGGTGGCAGGGCCTTCAGGGACCCTCAGACCCCCCAGGCAGACCCATATGGAGACACGGAGCACTGAGAGAGCTGGCTGGGTCAGTGCTGGGGATCCTGGGGCAACCCCTCCCTTCTCTGTGAAGTAGGCTGACCAACCCCACCTGCCCTCATTCAGGAGAATTTAGGGAGAGCCAGACACCAGCTGGCCTGGGAAAACGAAGTCTACCTAAGTGGCCCAGGAGAGGGAGCCCCATTGCCACCTGTGAGCACCTACCAGGCAACGGTAGCCTGTGGTGTGTTCACACTACAGTGATCCCTGGAGGCAGGGTCATTGCACCCACTTCACAGATGAGAATCCTGAGGCTCCCTCCAGTCTGCCCAAGGTCACAGGGCCAGAGCCTACAGAGCCTGGATTTGAACCTGGTTTCTGACTTAACGCCTATTGCAGTCACCAAGGTGCAACGGCCCACCCCAGGGGCTCTGGGAAGTCAGGGTGGACTCCCTGGTGGGGAGCGAGGCCCTGGCAAAGGCACAGCGCTGGAAACGGGAAGTGTGTTGTGAGGTGGACACAGGTGGCTTCCCAGGAGCAGGGGAGGGCAGGAGACCCCGACAGACTCACCGAGCTGTCATGCAGTGCCTGCTGCAGGGCGGGCAGGTCCTGTGTGGCGCACCAGGCCTCAGCAATGAGGCACTTGTACGTGGCACTAACGCTGCACTGGTTGAGGGCCAGGTACACAGCCTTCATCTTGCGGATCTGCACCTGCCAGGGCGGCAGCAGCCGCTGCACCCGGCCCAGCACCTGGCTCAGGAACCGCTCTGTTTCCCCCAGGACCTGAGGCCGGAGCGGGCAGTGAGGAGCAGGACAGGCCGGCTGGGGGTCAGAGGGGGGGCAGGGGGCAGGAGGAGC